TTGAAGAGGACCTTAAGGCCCCATGTACACGGGACATTTCTGAACGATGGAAACTGACTGCTGGAAAAAGCAGGTTAAAAAAACATCTGTTAAGCCACGTTTGCATACCGCGTTTATGTGCGTTTATGCGCGTTTTTTAAAGATAACCTCAGGAGACCTTCCAAAATGCCCAGAATGCACTAAAACACAGTAAAAAATTATTTACTATTTCAGACATTTTGAGAGACATAAGAGAGAGCAGAAGCAGAGAGAGCAGTATTTGTTGAGATTAGCTGTCTTTTTTTTTTTCTTTTGTGCTGCTCATTTCTGTGCAGAAATTATTGCAGCAGTGTCTAACATATTTTTTTCATGCAAAACCTCAAAGTATGGGGTGCTAGGTGCACTTGGGTACCGGGGGAAAAACGCTTTGCATACATTTTTCATGATGAAAAAATGCCCTGGACAGCAACTGGAAATGGAGGAGGTTAAAAAAAAATTCAAACGCAAATGCTTATAAACGTGGGTAGCCGCGTTTAAAAGCGTTTGGTGTTTGAAACACTGATAAACTCTACTGCTGAACGCAAGTTTTCTGTGTTAAAAAAAACAACTGTAAACTCAACTGCCTGTAAACGACATAGTGTACATGGACACATAGGAAAAACATTAGGGCGAGTTCAGGGGCTGCTGAAAAAAAACGCAGAACAGCTCCTAAATGTGAGTTTATCAGCTGCAGTGTACATGAGCCCTAAATCTGATTTTATAAAATTTTTTGTAGCTTTTCTTTACTTTGTTTTACTGAATGATTGCAGCTAGAAAATTGTGTATTGTAGTAATTTTTCCTGCATTGGGACCCAATAAAAATGAATGGGCTACAATAGCACAGCATGCTAAAATGCACAATGAAGGTGTCCGTTTATGAACCAGCGATAAATGATCGCTGATCAGTTCTCCGGCATTCTCAGAGAACACAGTTCTCCTCTGAAAGCCTTTTATGAAGCAGTTCTCTGAACGAAGGGAGAATGGTCTCCAAACGCTGGAGAACGGTCTACAAACGCTGGAAAACGGCTGATTTTACTATAATCTCACGAGATTACAGTAAAAGTACAGTTTACTAAACAGAGGTAAATTATCGCTGCTTAGGTGTCCGTTTATGAACCAGCAGTAATAGATTGCTGCTAAGTTCTCCGGCATTCTCGGAGAACACAGTTCTCCTATGAAAGCCGTTTATGAAGCATATGTAGATCAGTTCTCCAAATGAAGGGAGAACGGTCTACAAACGCTGGAAAACGGCTGATTTTACTATAATCTCGTGAGATTACAGTAAAAGATCAGTTTACTAAACAGAGGTAAATTATCTCTGCTTGGTTTGAGGTCCCTCCAATTCTCCAGCTCTGGGCTGGAGAATATGGAGGGAGAACACAGATCTCCAGTGAAGAGCTGAACAGTTCTCCACTGATCTCCTGAGTGTCATAAACTGTGAATGATCAGAGAATAGCTGAGATCCTCTGAATCGCAGCTATTCTCTGTGTCATAAACGGACATCTAAGTGAGTTGCTGTGAATGCATTACCAAGAAGCAAGGAGGTGTGAATGTTTGTAAATTTGCAGTTGAAATGTTTCCTAAATAGCATTCAAAATTCACTGATCAATGTTAATTGCTGTCTGTCTCTCTCTTTAAAAAAAGATACGCTTATTCAGGAGTTAATATTTCAAATGTTGTTAAAGTAAACTATTATAACAGAATGGAAAATCACTAGAACGTAAATAAAAAAATTTCCTTAAAAACGACTTTTGGAGTAATAAAGAAAAGTCAAACGCTCAAATAGTAGCAACTTTAAAGGTGTCATGAAATCTATTTAGCCAGTCTCCGTGACAAAGGCATGAAATATTTACATCCCTAACCATATACGCCTGGAAGCTGGGCTCCATTTGTCACTGTGAGTGCAGACTGATATAAAGTGCCCACCTTGAAATAATGGCATTTGGTTTATTAGTAAACCGCCCTACTCGGCGGGATAACTTGTCAGCTCCTTTTTCATTTGTGTACCACTGAATTATTATGAAGCATGGAGAGAATTTTAATAGCAGGCTGAATTGAGGTCAACAAGCAGAAAGCTGGCTTAAAATAAATAAGAGTCGTTTAGGCACGACTTCACAAAATGCATCTTGTTATCCTGATTTCCTTTGCATGGGCTATAACTGTTTATATTAATATCATGCAAAAAAAAAATACAAAATATTTCATGAAAATAGTATTTTGTGGAAAGAAAAACATGACAGTTGATACACAGGGTTTTGAAAACCAAAAATGTCACACAGTTAGGGTTTATAATTAGCAGCTTAACTTGGGGTGCAGTGGGACCCCCCACATCTCAAAGGTTAAATGTCTGTTATGTCTAGGGGGGGAGGCAGAAGCAGGAGAAATACTTATTTTACTCTTCACTCCTACAGTCCCTGAGTCTACAGATCTGTGCAAATGCTGCCATGCTGCTTTCCTCTCTATGGTACCCTGGGCTGCAGTCACACTCACATACAATGCAGGGTTAATAGCCTTGCACTGTGCATGATGACACTGAGGGACCAGACACAGCTCAGGGTGCCAGGGAGAAGAAAGAGAGTGCCAGGGGTTATGTATACGTGATCACTCACCTTGTAAAACAACCCACTCCATTTAAAATAGAAATGAAATGCAAAACATTTGTGTATATGTATAAAAAAATCTAAATGACCTTTTTCCCCTTTTTTATAAGTAATCACATTCCCTCTGTTCTCAGCTGTGTAAGGGGCTTCGAGAAGTGGGAATGGAGAAACAGCTGTACACTGATCTTCCCAGTAAATGGCAGTGCAGGGGGCATGCCAAGTCTGATCACTGGCGGACTGACAGGCTGTTCTCCGAACACAGCCAGAAAACTGACCACGCTAATATGGATGTGCTCTCATGCCTAGCATGGTCAGTTTGAAAAAGGAGAGCAGAAGGACGGACAGGATCATCAGGAATTTTACACAAAGGAAACAATAAAAAGAGAACAGGATACTTTATAACACAAATATATGGTACAACATACACATATCATGAACATGAAATGTTGGGGTAACATTCTTTAAAGTAAGCAGTACTGCTTGTTCCTCTTCTCGTGGACTTAACAAACATGTAGCCCTTGCAGTGTGGGGGGCACTGCAAGGGGACATTGTGCCTAACTCCTTAAGTACAGCTTGAAAGCTAAACTCCATGTGATATTAAAGTAATTGCAGTTACGTGCTCTTAACAATATACATTTTTAAAGAGTTACTAAACCCAGGACCCTGCATTCACTATATCTGGTCTCCCACAGTACACACAACATGGAAATGCAATTATTTTAGTAAATATAAACTGCTAAATACTTTTTCTCATCAGCACTTAGGGCAGTCTTGTGACTTCTATCAGTGTCTAGCAGAGCAATGGAGGAGTTTTCTTTCTGCTCTAGGAGGATGCAAAACCCCTGACCTCTTTCTGGACAATGCTGATTGGCCCTGTGCTGATCACATGCACTCTACCAAGAAAAAAAAAAACCTCTCTAGAAATACACACTAAACTGAGCATGTGCATGTGGCCATGGGTTCAGTCTGTCTTATCAGGAGATAAGACATGGACATTTGAAAAAGAGGAGGAGCAGAGAAGACAGGATCAAACGGCCTTTTTACACAATGCAGAAGATTAACCCCTTAGGTTCCACAGTGAGTATAACGAGCATGCTTTACTGCATATACAGACTGATTTTACTGTTGTGGGTTTAATAACACTTTAAAGTCAACTAATGTAAGTATCTGAATCTGTTTTCATAGCAGCCTCCTAGAGTAATGCTGCCAATCAGCATACTCACAGGAGAAGAGAACAGCATGAACACACGTGTGACCTCTCCGGTTTGCTGCTCCTTCACTGTCCAATCACTTGCTGGGGGCAGGGAGGTGATCTATCTGATTTTTTATGCCACCATGGAAACATGGGATATTTGTACTTACCGTAAAATGTACTTCTTGGAGTTCATTCCAGAACACTGGGATTTAGAGACTGTTCACTTATACTGCCACCTACAGGAGAATGTGGACACTGGCATACAAAAAGTGGCCAGCTCGGTATAAGCCCTCCTACTCTCCGCATGCCTTGGTTTGGTGGTAAAGCAGTGCCAAGATCATGGTCGTAGACACAGAGGAACGGGACCTGTGTCCCTCAACAAACTCCAGGACATTGATTATATGCTAAGTACAAATATCCCTTTTTCTCATTCACTGAGGGAAACAAAAATTCAGAGACTGCTGGGATGTCCAAAAATAGTACAACTGAAGGGTGGGAAACAGCAACAAAACTAACAGGTTCACAGGAAAACAAAAAAAGTAGGCACTGCTTGCAGCTCAAAAAGTCACCTGAAAGATCTTACACCTAAAGTTAACATCAGCCGGGGCCTGAACATCCACCTAGTAAAACTTGCAGAATATGTCATCAGAAGACCAGGTGGCAGCTTTGCAAAACTAGGAAACAGTAGCTTGATACCGAAACACCCAGGAGCTGGAAATAGAAGAGTTTACATTGTGTTGGACACTGTCTTTTTCCTCCTATCGGTGGCAGTATAACCCAAAAGGCTCTGAATTTTGTGCTCAAAGAATGAGAAAGAAATGAGGTCATGAACCTGGCAGGACTGTGTAAATTGCAAGTCTGGATTATCCTTTGGCAGGTATTGCACCTTCAACATAGATTTCAGTTGTGCATTTAGCTATTTGCCTGGAGTTCAGCTTTCAATTACCAAAACCCCTGCAGTATGCAGCATGTAAGCATGTTAAACTACAAACATATACCTTAAGGCAGAAACACTAAATTCATACTGTGTGGAATTCAGATAATCATTCAATGCCAATTGTGTCCTGGAAACATTCTGTTCACAGCTGAACCACTCTCTAGAACAGGGTTTCTCAACCAGGGTTCCATTGAACCCTAGGGTTTCTTTACAGCAAGGTTTCTAGAGGTTGCTAGGGGTTCCTTGAGCAATGAGAAATGAGAAAGTTCTCCCTCTCAGAGAGGGGTGGACTGACAACTCATGGGGCCCCCGGGCAATAGGAAATTATGGGGCCCCTGTGTCCTTTCCCACACTCAAACCACACCCAAAAAAGTCTATGAAAGGCCAGGGGCATCTCATGGGGCCCCCTACTGACCCCGGGCCCTTGGGCAGTGCCCGAGTGCTTAATGGTCAGTCCGCCCCTGCTCTCAGATAAGTTCCCATTCACACCATATTTTTAGGTATATGTAAAGGGGTAATTCTTACTAATGACCACAAGTGTAAGGACCATTCCTTCTGTCCATCACACTAATGTATCATGAGTCATAGAGATAGTAATTATTAGCGGGGTTTCTTCAAAATTGCAAAGTTTTTTCAAGGGTTCCTCTGTGTTGCAAAGCTTGAAAAAGTTGGCTCTAGAGCAGTAATTTCTAAACTGTGGCCTGGGGGCCAGATGCAACCTTTTCCTTGCTTTTATCTGGCCCTTGGGGCACTAATTCATTCACCATTGCCAACAATGGGGCATAATTCTCCCCTAAAGAGACCAGTGAAGGGGCACAATTCCTCCCAATTACACCAATGATGGGGCACAATTCCTCCCAGTGACACCAACAGTCGGGCTTAACGTCACCAATGATGGGGCACAATTCTTCCCACTGACATCAACGATGGAGCACAACTCCTCCCACTGACACCAATGATGGGGCACAACTCCTCCCACTGACAACAACAATGGAGCATAATTACCCTTATTGACACCAAAGGTGTGGGATTGTTTTTTCCAGCTGACCTTGGGACCTTTTCTACTCCCAATAGCCACAGTCCGGCCCCTCTAAAGTCTGAAGAACAGTAAACTAGCCCTCTGTTTAGAAAGTTTGGAGTCCCCTGCTCTAGTAGTTGCTAGAAGCATTTTGTGCCTCACTTTCCCACTGACACCATTGATCTTTGATCTAGCTATCTGTAAGGGTATAATTCTTCCCAATGACTACAAGTGTGAGGAGCATTCTTCCCACTGACCATCACACTAATGTATCAGGAGCTGTAGATATAGTAACTTTTAGCAGGGGTTCCCTGAGAACAGAAAGTTATTTCAAGAGTTCCTCCATGTTATAAAGGTTGAGAAAGGCTGCTCCAAACCAAGGCAAAGGAATAGACCTGAACATTGCATATACTGTAGCATTTGGGCCAAAGTACTCATATGACTTCCTAACAGATTACTGATGTGCCCTGAGCCAGGCCTGGCCAGAATTGTCCTACTGCAACCCCATTTTCTGCATAACTGGTGCAATGACCATGTGTAAGGTGATGTACCCTATTGCAAACACTTGTTTGAGTTCACCTTTAGTGAGATAAGTTAATCGGTTATTTCTAAATTGCTGCTTAATATCACTGTACCTTTTATTTATTTTATTAAACAACCCTGCATGTCCTTTCCAGTGGTTTACACTGGAAACAAAGGGATTGGAATAGCGCAGGCAGCTATTACCCCGATGTCTGCTGTAGTTGAACCGTTTGTCATAGCTGATAAAGCCTACAAGGTGAAACATCGGTTGTATTCCACAAAATATACCATTTGCAACACAACCATGGTGTTTAGTCTCTTCTTTTTTTGGATTGTTGAAATTGCTGGTGCTGATGGAACACATTCGTTTTCACATACAGAAGCCAGGACAAGGCTATTGTAAGTGTCACATATTGTATATATGTCATTACATTTGTGCATCACTATATGAATGAAATTTGTGCCATTTCATAGAAAAAAACTGCGCCTGTTAACAGAATCTTATTTTTCACCATCTTAATGGAGAACATTGTAGATGTAACATTGTAGTACCTTGTAGCAATGCGTTTTTATTAAAGCCTTACTCAGAGATCAGACACTGACATCAAGTGACACCATATAATATCTATACACATCTCTGGAGAGAGACTGAACCGCAGAGCAAGCTACACATCTCATTCTATGAATAAATAACTTTTGGTGACAGGAGACTGGAATTAATACAAGCAATTTGATTATGCAGTACTGGGAGTTCAACTATTCCACAGGGCATGAACTTCTATCTTATAATGAACTCTGGCTACCTGTCTTTAAATCACTCACATGTCACTCTCCAAAAACACAATTTAATAACCACAAAGAAAATTTCTCTCTAAAGAAATTGCCATGAAATACAGACTGATTTTTGTATTGGTCATGAATAGGCCTAGGTATCAGGTATAGAGATTTCATTAAAAATATCCCATCATGTAAATGTAGTTAATAACTGTAAAGGTGAACAGCATATACTGTAGGTCCAATAGCAAAACCACAGCAGTGAAAATAGATTTAAAATACAGTATATTTTCTACATTTACTGTCACAGTTTGCTATGGACATATAATACCTTTTTGGATATTCTTATAAATGAGGTTCATCAAAGGTAGGGTTGAATTACCTATCCAATATATGTTGTTCACTTAGAAAGTGGTCGTTCACATTGCAAACTGTATTTTCACGTAAGCTGGCCATTCATTAGTAGATGTTCAAAGGAACATTTGTACAAATAATCTCCATACATTCAGTGACTTGACAAATGTTGTTTGAAAGTTCTTCATATTTTTGTTTGCTTTTAACTTTCGATTTTGTAATAGGTGTAATTTCCCAAACCACATATACTTTTGAATTTCATTCATTTGAGAAAGATTTTCCACCCTGCTTCTTCAAATTTTGTTTGTCACTGTGACTGAAAAAGAACGCTGATTTGACCCCACTAATTATAAGAAAATTATACATTCCTAAAACAAAGTATGTATAACAAAACGCTACTAATGTAAGGCCAGCATAAGTTTAATAATAAAGTAAAGCTGCGTTCACTTTGTGTGCCCAATCAAGTGCAAAGGGAATGAAAAAAAAACAGGACTTCTACTTGATGGTTTATTTATTATTTTTTAGTTATTTATTTCAGGAACTTATATAGCGCCGTCAATTTACGCAGCACTTTACATATATATTGTACATTCACATCAGTATGGTTGGATGACAGAAAGAAAACTTCACCTGATTCACTAAGCTAAGTGAATACTCGCTTTACAAAATTAACGTGTTTTTATTCTTTTAGTAAATCAATCCTGATAATTGCATGGCATGATCACTGAGGAGACACACACCAAGTAAAGAAAATGGCCTTGATTATTTTCACATAAATAACAAGTGGAAGCACACACAAGCCTAGTCATCAAACAAACCATATACAGTAGTTTACTGACGCCAACATTTTGGAGGGTCAAAGCCAACCTTTATAAACGCAAGCTATAAGCTATGGTCAGTTTTTTATGTTTTCTCCAATAACTAAACCTGTGAAAATTTCACAAGAAACACTGCCTACAATGGCCATCATCACAGGGGTGTAGTATAGACCACAGTCTTGCTGCCCAATTAAATCAATGGACAGTAGGACTTAACCAGGGAACTGCAAGATCATCCTGGGTTCCATGTGACCCTGGGATTCTATCCTGAATACAGAACAGTCCTCCTAAATCCTGTATGCTGAAAAGTACCAAGCAGAAACCATGGCACTTTCATACATGAGGCTGCATGTGATGAAAGCTATTTTGAGTGTTGTTGTGTCCTCCTTTGGTATCGTCCAATTCTATATGTTTTAAAAATATAGTAGTAACACAATAAGATGCACATATACAGTACCAGTACCAGTTTCACAGTAAGAGATGGCCACAGACACCTGTGGTCCTGATGGTGAGCTTCACAGTGAAAGATGACCACAGCATCTATGGTCCTGATGGTAAGCTTCACAGTGAGAGATGCCCACAAGCCTATGTGGTCCAGATGGTGAGCTTCTCAGTAAGAGATGCAAAACAGCCATCTGTGGTCTTGATGGTGAGCTTCACAGTAAGAGATGCCTAAATGCATCTATGGTCCTGATGGTAAGCTTTACAGTGAGAGGTGCCCACAAGCCTATGTGGTCCAGATGGTGAGCTTCTCAGTAAGAGATGCACAACAGCCATCTGTGGTGTTGATGGTGAGCTTCACAGTAAGATATGCCTAAATGCATCTATGGTCCTGATGGTAAGCTTCACAGTGAGAGATGCCCACAAGCCTATGTGGTCCAGATGGTGAGCTTCTCAGTAAGAGATGCACAACAGCCATCTGTGGTCTTGATGGTGAGCTACACAGTAAAAGATGCGTAAATGCATCTATGGTCCTGATGGTAAGCTTCATAATAAAAGATGCCCACAAGCATCTATGGTCCTGATAGTGAGAGTTTCACAGTAAGAAATGCCTAAATGCATCTATGGTCCTGATAGTAAGCTTCATAGTAAAAGATGCCCACAGGCATCTATGGTCCTGATGGTGAGCTTCACAGTAAGAGATGCCTAAAGGCATCTATGGTCCTGATGGTGAGCTTCACAGAAAGAGATTACCACCAGCCTCTGTGGTCTGATGTTGAGCTTCACAATAAGTGATGCCCAAAAGCATCTGTGGTCCTGATGGTGAGCTTCATGGTAAGGGATGCCCACCAGCATCTGTGGTCCTGATGGTGAGCTTCACAGTAAAAGATTCCCACAAGCATCTGTGGTCCTGATGGTGAGCTTCACGATAAGAGATGCCTACCAGCATCTTTGGTCCTGATGGTAAACTTCACAGTAAGAGATGCCCACCAGCATCTGTGGTCCTGATGGTGAGCTTCACGGTAAGAGATATCTACCAGCATCTGTGGTCCTGATGGTGAGCTTCACAGTAAAAGATTCCCACAAGCATCTGTGGTCCTGATGGTGAGTTTCACGGTAAGAGATGCCTACCAGCATCTGTGGTCCTAAAGGTAACTTCATAGTAAGAGATGCCCACCAGTATCTGTGGTCCTGATGGTGAGCTTGAAATCAGAGAAAGTGTCAGAACACTGCTCTACATGTAAAACCAAAGAAATCTGTGTAGTTTTGGAGCCATTACACAGACATTTCTAAGGGGCCCGTTTAAAATGGAGTGCAGATATTGCTTTCTGCTTTCCACGCTGAACTGCTAAGTTACCTCATACCATGGTTTGCACTTTGCAGCACATTCATACAATGAAACTGTGGAGTGTGGTACATCACAGAGTTCTTTCTGCTTAACACAACAGAGAACTCAACTCGAAAAAGAGCTGGTCCCATGACTTTGACAGGTCACAATACTGGGTTTTGGACTATTTATTTTTTTCTCATTCATTTTACTCCAAAGCCAGCAGAGCACTAAGCACTGTGCTTTATAAGTCTGCATTAAAAAAGAAAACCAAAACAGCAGTGT